CCTCTCCCCTCTCTCCCTCTCTCTCCCCCTCTCTCCTTCTCTCCCTCTCCCTCTCTCTCCCTCTCCCCTCTCTCCTACTCACTCTCTCTCCCTCTCACTTTCTCCATCTCTCCCTCTCTTCCTCTCTCCATCTCTCCCTCTCTCCCTGTCTCCCTCTTTCCCACTCTCTTTGTTTCCCTATCTCATTTTGGTCTGACGCACATATACTCATAGAAATACACACATATGCCTACGCAATTGAACACTTCGCACCCTTGGTCCGATCAGCGCCCTGCGAGCCTCGCGCTCTCACCTGATGAGCGCGAGCAGCTCGACTCGGAGCGAGCCGACGTGCAGGCGGAGATCTCCGGCGAGAACTTCTTCAGAGCGCGCGTGTCGTAGGCGAATGACGCGCCACTTCTTGCACACGGTGGCTCATGAGCGGCAGATCTCCCGGTGCGACTGGTACGAGAAGATGTTCACAGCACCTTGGTTCCGGCATCTTCTGATCGTCCTGCCACAGAAGCACACACGGCGCCGCGCTGTACCACGGCCCTCTTCTCGCCAACTCTCATCGGACCACCGCACGACTCGATTTTTTTTAAGTAAAACTGCCTGATACAACCACCGCTAAATCGCAGCGGCGCAAGCACGTCCTGACCGCACCTAGCTTCTCACCACCCTCTCCCTGGTCCCGCCCACCCTCCCGCATTGACTCTGAAAATCACATGTGGGTTTTATAACAAAACGTAAACTGTAACTGAAGTTTAATCATTTGAGAAATTTATAAATTTATTATTTAATCTCACACTTAGAACATCTTCCCAAAAATCGTTTGCAATGAGCAAATTGATGAAAGAAAATCATGTTTTTTGAAAAGCACAATTATTTTTGAAATATGTAATGACATAAAGTACTTCAATATTTGAGTTTTGAGAAATTTGTGTGTTGAATCTGTCGTCTATTCGTTAATTGAAAGTAAAGTGGAGTAAATGCGACTTTTGAAGAACTTTTACGAATCCCATTCGTGTTTGAAGAATCAGAATCGTATCACTAAATAACAATGAAAAGTAATGGGGAGATTAAAGTTAATTTGGGCGTTCTTTATGTTTAAGTTAGTTGTCATTCAGTGCAATTAATATAATATTTAAGTTCGCAATAAGTGATAAAATATAGTGTAGATTGTAATAGCATATAAGAAGGGAAATGTAAACAACTAGTGCATTGTCTTATTTCTCGATTGTGTCGCAAATTAAACATTTTAATTCAAATTCAGAATAAAATAATAATACCATAAAACGAAATAAATCGTCTTCATTTTGTAATTTTTACTATTGCAGTTTAAATTAGTTTTGAAGGTTTTCCGTCCCTCTTTGTAGGTTTGCAATATTTCATTTAATATCATCCAAGTCTTTGAAATGCAAGTCGTCATTTTGTATGAATAACAGTTCAAGTTGTTCAAGACCTACCAAGAACTGCAATATTCAATCCACCCCACCCATTCATCCTGATGTTTTTTTTCATCGGCTATCATTGTATTGAGAAATCACTTCGGAACTCTGCCAAGCGATCTATCTCATCGCAAGAGTCTCATTAAATTTCTCGCAGAAGAACCTTTGGCATGAACGTCGTATAACAATTCACGCGTCGCCCTCAGCATCTCAAGAGTGGCGGTGAGAGCTCGCAGCTCCACTCCCGACCGCGCACGCTGACTCCCACACTCGCTCTCGTGAATGGCGGAGGCGTCTGTGCTCAGGAATGAACCGTCTCACGTCTTGAATGACGCAGAAGATAAATTTGTGTCATCTCATTCTCGAGAGACAGTGCGCTAGTTCTTTATTTCAGATCAGTTAAAAGACTGGATTAACCTGATGAAATGTTTAATTTGCGTCTCAAGAACGATAACATCGACATATCAGACCTAGTCTGTTATTTGTATTATTGGTCATTCGTTGTCATTAACTTTTCGTACACCATTTCTTATAAGGAAAAATATATAAAAGTGAATACCATTTCGTTCTAATTGTGTACTGCGTACACATTTTTTATCTCTAATCGTTGTTTCTGTTGTTCTTAAGCGGACAGGACGGTTAAAATCTTACTCGCCGGTCCTGTTGGGATTGAACTTTTCGTGGCCTCTGTTTGGTTTCGATATTAACGTAGTGATCAGGAACTGTTACCAAGATATTACGCCTGATTTGGAGAAAAATAAGTTGATTCGATGGAACTCTGTAACTGCTAGATGGCATGACGAGGTTTCTATCAAGTTCTGACCATTTCGATGTGTAGGCTGATCTGAGACTTGTTCGGCTCATATTTCTCATTAAAAAATATCATTACAAAGAAGAAGTTATATTTTGTGTTTAAGTAATATACGTAGTTTTAAAACGCATTTGTAACAGGCCTCATTAGTTCGATCATTTCTAAGAGACGGAAGACTGTGAAACCCTCAGGCCGAAAGAGTAGATATTCTTCGATTTGGTTGTACAAAGTCTATAATAACAGTACAGTATTTACAAACATTTAGTGTTTAGCGAAGAACTTTCGTGAAAATTAAATATTACTTCTCAGTATCCTAGACTGCTAGGAATATTGTACTTGACTGACCTTACTAGTTTACAAGGTGTTGAAACTCGCAGTGTTTTAACAAGTATTACTGCTAGTAATCGACTAGCAGCTGGAGAATGCAGAATGCAGACCAGACAGGTTTGGAATCCTGCGTAACGTATGGTTGGTACCGTTAGCTCCACGAAGTGTACGGTAAAGTTTTCCGTTGATTTTATAGCATCGAGGGTTTCACAGTCCCGATTATACCTCCTGTACGAGAACCTTGATTCCTCCCAAATTCCTTGACATTACCCGGTAACGTACTATTCTATAAGTCTAAGGACATCTTTGAAATGGGATTATTGAGGGAACTGGGTCCACTATCAGAAAAATTTACAAGCACCGAGATGAGCCCTCGAGCTATCTCAGGGAATGTAAATACACAGGTGCAGTGTTATTACCCAATGTCATCTCACTTACTGGTGCTTTTTCTTGCAAGTTATGTCCCCAGTTTCACAAAACATTCAGTTCAAGAGAAAACCATTCATGTCACAACGTGGTAAAGATTTTGTCGTACACTTTGTAATAGTTTTATAAAATGATAGGAATTATATCACAAATTATATACTTCTAATTTTGGATATATCAAGCACTTTTTTCATTGACCTGCTTGAAATAGTGTGACTAAGCATATTGTGACTTCTTAAAATCACATTACAAGTAAAAATATCGATAAATATCAGCAATACCTGGGAATAGTTGGTACTGGTGTTGTCCACGAACAGATACAGAAAGAACAGATCCGACATTTTTTGAGCGAAAAATGTTTGGTATCAGGGACCGTCAAAATACATATTTCTGTCAAAATGTCGTCATTTTATGCAACAATATTTTTCTCAATTACGTATATGAGATAGTAAAAACTAAGATTAGGATATCGTCATTTAATAACAGAACAATACGTATTGCTGCAAATGATCTGCCTCAAATTTCAAAGCCATTCCTCTAAGTGTCTGCAGTTTAAGAAATATGTTCGAAATAGCGATACATTAGCGATAAAAAGATGTTACATGAGTAACATATTATTATGCCGTGGGATCAAGTGCTAGACAGTGTTATGCAATGGGAAACTGTGCAGGGTGGTGGAATGAGATGTACCATTTTTCGAACTGATTTCGCTGAACAATCTCTACCATATATCTTGATATTTATTATTACTTCCATTATTTTTATTGTGTACCACTATTTTTCTCAATTTGATGAACATTTTCACGTGCTGTGAATCCACCATCAGGTTTTTATGCCCAATTGCATTTTAATAAATCTCTCTTACCGTGTTGGCGAAAGGGCTTCGCACAGCGGTGCCATCTGAGAGGTACACTTGCGAAGCCTCGAGTATCGCCTGCCCCCACACCTAGTAACACCTGCTCACGTCAGTATGACGTCTCCGTGTCTAGTTATCGTCTTAAGTCATTTGCCTTTGCCATTTAGCAGCCACTGCTTACGTCACGTTAAGGGTTAGGCTGAAGCTACAAGTATTTACACAAGCGCCAACTGAAAAGTAATAGAAATTATAACGAAAAAAAAATTGTTATTCAATCTATGATAGATTTAACACGTAGTCATACAATACATTAAGTTTAGAAACAAGTGTTTAGAGAAACTGGAAAACAGAGACATTCAAATCACTAAGTTTCGATATCTCGAAGCAAATTTTCATTTCATATCCCTAATATATTAAGTATTATGCCGTTTTTATTAAGATTTTACTTGTAAAAGAAGACTATGACGTATCGGAAGTCCAAACTTATTTCTTCCCGAGATGACGCATGTCAAGATGTGTCTAGTGTACATAATACTACACCAATTTTTGTGAATTAGAAATAATAGCTTCCTTTGCATCACTGCAGAAATTCTGATTTTTTTAAACACGTTTCATAACAACTTGAGTTTTTATAATGATTTCATTCCGGAGGCACATCCATATATCGAGATTCGACTGTACGTAAAATCGAGGAGTACATAGCCAGAAGAAACAGAGTAAATAAGTAAAGAAGCTCCTAAAGAATAGGACGGCGGCGGCTGTCGGGGCGCGTGCAGTGAACGCAACTCGTTTAGCGGCTCCCGAGAGAGACCCGCGCTGTCTAGTGAATATGACGCCTGCCAAACAAACACGGCGGCGCGGGGCGCGGAGGCAGACGGAGCGCTTCAAAGAGG